GCTTTCTAAAATATTTATTTACTTAATATTTTACTTCCTGTCTCTGCTTCTCTAAAGCTGTAACCCTTCACAAAAAAAGCAGTGAAAAATGGCTGCATGGGGTTAAGATTAACACCTAATGAAATTGCATCAGCTAATATTTGAACAGCTTTGTTTTTTTAATGAAACTTTCAATGTGGGTGATGGGTTTTATTTTCTTAGTGCACTAACGCCTTCTCAAACTTAGACTCCATTATTTCATTGAAAGAAAAGCATGATGTGTCTTAAATAAGTCAGAATTATGATTGATGCTCGATCTAGGAAAATTAGGCAATTGGGGGTGATAGTACCCCCCCACCCCCAATTACTGTCTTTGTTCTTACAAGTGTGTTTAAATCCATTTCTGTTAATTTACAATTTGAAAGGTGGGTGAAGGAGCAGAGTTTGAAAAATAGATTACTGTCTTCATTAATACAGGTTTGACCTACAAAGTCTTCACGTACTTAATGATTAAAACCCAAAGTACTAAATAATAAATTATAAGAATTTATAGGAGTCATCATCTTGAAATTAGCTTACTGAATGTTCTTATCATAATAAATCTGAGTGGGTGTCTAATTTAGTGTTAGCTGACTAAAATTATATGTTGCGGGCAGGGGAAAAAAAAACACTCTTGTTTGAAGACAAATGCAGTGAGTTTAATCACAGGTGATCTGAAAGGCACCTATCTTTCGCTATATCCACTTCTCAGAAACTTGGGCGAAACTGGTTGAATGAAGATCGATTCTAATTTGTAAATCCGACAGAGGATAAAGTGCCCCCCAGCATTCCGATGATGTTTGCGTTAACATTTCCTGCAGAGTTGTATTCCCTCAGATTCTAGAGACTGGGGCAACCAAACAGGGAAGGCAGCCTCTGCTCGCTTCCAGCTTCACGTCCGCTTTCAAAGCTGAAGGGTGTGTTTCTGTTGGTCTGAAGAAGGTGGAAGAAAGACAGACACCCCCGTTCTCCACTCTCTGAATCCTTCCCTCAGGCTGTGTGTCAGAAAGGATATTTCTGTCCATTGGACAGTTATTTACTGGGCTTCTGCTCTGGGTGAGTTGGATCCTGTATTAAACTCAGGTGGTATAGGAAGAATTAGGATTCACTCCATACCCTCAAAGAGCTTAAAATCTTTTATGGATGACAGACGCGGAAACAAATAAAATGAGCTTTCTCGGGGAAAACTAGGTGCATACAAGTTACCCAAGAGGGAGTGACTTTGTCTCTAGCGGAGCAAGGTGGGTAATGAGGGAGGGTTTCTTCCAGGAGAGGGAGGACAAGAAGATGAGGTGAAAGTCACTCAGTCCTGTCCGACTCTTTGCAACCCATGGACTGTGTAGTCCATGGAATTCTCCAGGCCAGAATACTGGAGTGGGTAGCCTCTCCCTTCTCCAGGGGATCTTCCCAACCCAGGGATCGAACCCAGGTCTCCCACATTGCGGGTGGATTCTTTACCAGCTGAGCCTCCAGGGAAGACTACTAGGGGCTTATTAAGGGGAGCGAATATCCAGGAAGATGCTATAAAGCAGAGGTCCCCAACCTGCAGAACCTAATGCCTGATGATGCGAGATGGAGCTGATGTGATAATAATAGACATACAGTGCACAACAGATGCTTGAGTCATCCCAAAATTATTCCCCACCCCCGTCTGTGGAAAAATTGTCTCCCACGAAAACAGTCCCTGGTGCCAAAACGGTGGTGGACGTCTGCTGTAGAGGGATGAGCATGTGAAAGGTATCAGGGGTGAAATAGACCGTCTATCTGGGCCACTGGAAATAACTGATGTCGGGGCACAAAGAGCCAGGACAGAGTGGTCCAGAATAATATTAAAGACTGAGGCTGTGACCGCATGGTGAAGGAGCTTGCAACAGGCCTGGACGCCTCACAGGAGATTCAGCAACAGCGAAGGCTTTTGGGCATCACTGTCGTGACTTGACTTTGTAGTAAAGTAGAATTCACGTAATTTTCTTCCACGTTCTGTGAGATGGTGGCTTATAAGTGATTTTTTTTTTCAAATTTTCTTTTGACATTGAATAAGAGGAAAACATATACATACACACCCCTAAATAATTTACCCCAAATATACAAAGAGTTTTTACAAATCAAAAAGAATAATGTGAACCTCTGACCTGAAAAATGAGCAAAGTCAATGAAGGAGAAATTCCTTGAAGAAAATTGACAAACCTGAAAAAATCCTCAGCCTTACTGTTAATTCCCAGAAACAGAAATTAAACAATGAGAAACCACCCGGCACAACTCAGTGATGAAAGTTAAGAAGACAGATAACCTCTCCCCATTGGTGAGTGTAGAGAGTACAAAAGGGTATGAAAAAGAAAAGTTGTCCCAACTCTGGTCTGAAAGAGAACCTTTTTGCATAATGTAATTCTCAGCTTCATTCCTGATAAATTGCTTAAGCAATTTTCTGATAAACCCTAATGGGATTAAGACTTGTTCTGAAAAATCAGTCACCCATCTAGCCAACTGTCTGTCACTCAAGAGTCTAGGCCCCTTCAACCGAATATTCTTCTCTTGCCATATCTAGCCTAACATTGACTATCTTATCACTCCTTTTCTCTAGAAAATGTCTCCACCAGGAGTGAATCTTTGAATTGATCTGCTCAAGGCCTTTCCCTGGCAGCAAAATTACAACAGCACTTTGACTCATGCTCATAGCTAGACTTTCTAAAAAAGTTTTCCTTAACAGGGAAAAAAACATGCACTGTTAAAAGGAACATAAATTGTTTGGGGTCATTTCAAAATGAGAGCTAGTTGGCAGTTTCAATACAAATTAAACATACCTTTTAAGTTGAGCAATTCCATTCTGAACCAGAAAACACAGAGATATTTTAATAAATAAGCACAGTTTCCCAATGAGAAGAATCAGTTTTGTTTTTTTTTTTTTTAGCATTTTACACTTGTGCACGCGCGCGCGCACACACACACACACACACACACACACACTGTTTATTTTTTAACCTGTGAGTTCCGTTGTTCAGTCTCTCAGTCATGTCTGACTCTTGGCGACCCCGTGGACAGCAGCATGCCAGGCTTCCCTGTCCTTCACCATATCCTGGAACCTGCGCAAACTCATATCCACGGAGTCAGTGATGCCATTCAGCCATCTCGTCCTCTGTCATTCCCTCCTCCTCCTGCCTTCAATCTTTCCCAGTATCAGGATCTTTTCTAATGAGTCGGCTCTTTGCATCAGATGGCCATAGCATCAGTCCTTCCAACTGGGACTTGAACCCATGTGGCTGGGGCTCAAACCCAGCCAAAATCCATGGTACCTGGTTTCAGGGCCTAATAAAGCTCAGGTTCTTGATGTCTCATCACAGAAAGAATTCAGTGAGAGACAAAGTGATAGGTAAGAAATGGATTTATTCAGATTCAGAGCAGAACACAGTCTACAGACAGAGTGTGGGCCATCACAGAGGGCAAGTGCGGCCCTGAAGCTTGGCGTGGTTAGTTTTTATAGGCTGGGTAATTTCATATGCTAATGTGTGGGAGGATCATTCCAACTGTTTCTGGGAAGGGGTGGAGATTTCCGGGATTTGGGCACCGCCTCCTGCTTGGTCTTTTAACAGTGCCTTGGAGCTGTCATGGCACTCCTGGGCGTGTCATTGCTCTTGCTGATTGAGGATCAAGTCTAGTCTTGTCTGCCTTCTTGGTCCCATTTGATTCTAATCAGTTTATGTTGTGTCCTTGGGCTATGTCATTCTTTCAAAAGTTGTGCCCCGCCCCTTTTCCTCCAGTTACACAATGAATATTCAGGATTGATATCCTTTAGGATTGGCTGGTTTGATCTCCTTGCAGTCCAAGGGACTCTCAAGAGTCTTCTCCAACACCACAGTTCAAAAGCATCAGTTCTTCGGCGCTCAACCTTCTTAATGGTCCAACTCTCACATCCATACATGACCGCTGGAAAAGCCATAGTTTTGACTCTACGGACCTTTGTTGGCAAAGTAACATCTCTACTTTTTAATTCTGAGGTCCTGTCAATAGGGTAATGTCTAGTATATTCTGCATAGAAAAAAAAAGTTATTAAAAGAGATAAATCTAATATGTATATTATGGGTTAAATATACGCATGCACATATATGTGATGGCTGCCCATAGCATCATGTTGATTGAGAAAGCAAACTGAAGGACACTGCATATATTATTACACTTTTGTTTTCAAAGAAAGTTCTAGATGTGCCTGAATGTTTTTGTGTATATTTATCATGTGATCTGGGATTGTAGTGATAGACACTCACAGTTAACAGAGGTAACTTCTTGACAGGAAGGTGGGAAAAATGGGAGGTGAGATGGCTCTGTGAAGGATGGGATTGCATTTTTTTTTTAATGTAATTCTGTTTTGTTTGAATTTGCCCTCCCCCACCCCACCCCCACCCCTGATCAGCATGTTCAGTTTTGGGAATTAGGAGAAATAAGAGGAGGACAAAGATGTAAATCGCACAAATGTAATCGATGAAGTGGCCCCTGAAAGACACAGGATCCCATAACATTCTGGTGCCTTTGAGACGTGAAGCAGGTATGGCCTGGCACAGAAGCAGGATAAACTGGCCTGGAATCAGTTCAACTAATTTCAACTGTTTGTTTCCCCCAAACAGAGAGCTGAGACTGAGATTCGGGAAAGGGAAGTAGAAAAGGCAGGAATGAATTTGATATTTTCACCCCCTGCTGATTTCCACCCCTGCCCCCTCCCCTGCCTCGCACAATTTCTAATTAATTAAAAGAGTGATGCCTTCCAGAAAAGAGCATGCCTCCCTTTGGGGAGCTCACCAGGAAGAAGTGGGTCTTGTGTTGGAAGGGAAAGCTTTTCTTTCTTTCTTTTTTTTTTAGTATTAAAAATTAATTAAAAATGGAATGTATAAAACCTCACCTTTTATCAGTAGTACCCATTTTGGAGGACCAGTTGCCGTTGGTAAATTTTTAAACTTTTTCTGTTGCTGTAGATTTGGTTTTAAGGAAATTACCTTAGCGTTCAGTCTCTTGTGTGTCGTTTCCTGAAACTCGTGATCCCGCTGTGATTCTGTTGATCTGAGAGAAGGGAGAGTAATATTATATTAAAGTAATTGTCCATGGCCTCCTGTGTCAAAGGTTGTAACAGCTGGCAAATAAAACGTGATAGTTATTGATAGTTCTTTTCAAAAGCAAGGAAACTGGTATGGGAACAATTTTATGTAATGTAACTTTGAAATTTTCTTTTTTTGCTTTTTAATGAAAGTATTTACATCTCCTATTTTCACTTACTCATAAGTACATCGTCTCCAAGTAAACACCCTTTATTCTTACTTGAATGAGAAATCATAATGAATTTGGTGACATGTTCTAATGGCTGACATCAGCAACACTAATAGCTTAGATGAGTAGAATTTTCATGAGTAAACCTTTCATTTAATCCTCAAAAAGAAGTTTTAATGAATTCCCAGACACATGGTAGCATTATTAAGAAATATGTAAACTTTTGGCTGGAATTGTGGGATCTGAAGTAACTCCCATCCTCACCTCTTAAGATGTAAACTTCATTAGAGATTTTTATCAAAATTTATTGATACTAAACTATTATTTATATGCTACTATTTATACTGTGTGTCAGTTTCACCACAGTAGATGCTCAGTACATATCTGTGAATGGATGGATGGATGGCAGTCCCCTTTTCTGAAAGCAATTGAATTCCCATACTTTGCGTCCTTTGTAAAAATGATCACAGATTTAGCAGTTACTATGGGTTGCATGGGGGCCTCCAAAACATACGCCCACATTCCGTTAGTGTTGTCATGCAGATATATGGCTTCTTGCATCTTGTTTCTTTCACTCGGCATGTCAAAATTAGCACCATGCATTTTAACACGATAGGGATCATGTGCATGGATGGATGGAGATAAGTTTAGGAATTGGGTTTTGGATCCAATCTCTTGTTTATTACCTTGACTTTGATTCTAACCCTGACTCTTCCTGGCTGAGGATTTTGACAATTTACAGATGCTCTCTGAACCTCACTCTCCCTCTGCAACAAAATGACAATACTAAGGGATACTTCCTAAAATTGCTATGAGGATGAATTGAAGCAGGACCTGTGAAGTATAAAAAATGATGACTGGCCTGTAATAGGTGCTCAGCAAATCATATCTGCTTTTGTTTTGTTCTTAATAATAATGTGATTTTCTTTTAAGCTGAAACTGATAGCATTCCACACAGAAAGGAAAACACATCTATACCATTTTCAGTGTCCGTGAGTCAAAAACACACCGAGTTGCTCTGAGATGCAGATTCTAGTTGGAAGTGTTGCGTTCTTCAAAGCAATGATAAAATTGGTCTCTCTGTCTTCCATTACATAGATTTTTCCACCTAGCCCCTGGTTCAACTTCTGTTTAATATGTGTGTTACGGAAACAGCCAAGAATCCTCCTGCCAGTCTCCAAAGCAGTGACATAAATCCCAGCCTGCAATTTCACACATGCCTCACCGTGTCTCCAGGAGTCTGTCTGCTGGAGGGAGCCTATTTTATCAGTAGTACCCATTTTGGAGGACCAGTTGCCGTTGGTAAATTTTTAAACTTTTTCTGTTGCTGTAGATTTGGTTTTAAGGAAATTACCTTAGCGTTCAGTCTCTTGTGTGTCGTTTCCTGAAACTCGTGATCCCGCTGTGATTCTGTTGATCTGAGAGAAGGGAGAGTAATATTATATTAAAGTAATTGTCCATGGCCTCCTGTGTCAAAGGTTGTAACAGCTGGCAAATAAAACGTGATAGTTATTGATAGTTCTTTTCAAAGCAAGGAAACTGGTATGGGAACAATTTTATGTAATGTAACTTTGAAATTTTCTTTTTTTGCTTTTTAATGAAAGTATTTACATCTCCTATTTTCACTTACTCATAAGTACATCGTCTCCAAGTAAACACCCTTTATTCTTACTTGAATGAGAAATCATAATGAATTTGGTGACATGTTCTAATGGCTGACATCAGCAACACTAATAGCTTAGATGAGTAGAATTTTCATGAGTAAACCTTTCATTTAATCCTCAAAAAGAAGTTTTAATGAATTCCCAGACACATGGTAGCATTATTAAGAAATATGTAAACTTTTGGCTGGAATTGTGGGATCTGAAGTAACTCCCATCCTCACCTCTTAAGATGTAAACTTCATTAGAGATTTTTATCAAAATTTATTGATACTAAACTATTATTTATATGCTACTATTTATACTGTGTGTCAGTTTCACCACAGTAGATGCTCAGTACATATCTGTGAATGTATGGATGGATGGCAGTCCCCTTTTCTGAAAGCAATTGAATTCCCATACTTTGCGTCCTTTGTAAAAATGATCACAGATTTAGCAGTTACTATGGGTTGCATGGGGGCCTCCAAAACATACGCCCACATTCCGTTAGTGTTGTCATGCAGATATGTGGCTTCTTGCATCTTGTTTCTTTCACTCGGCATGTCAAAATTAGCACCATGCATTTTAACACGATAGGGATCATGTGCATGTATGGATGGAGATAAGTTTAGGAATTGGGTTTTGGATCCAATCTCTTGTTTATTACCTTGACTTTGATTCTAACCCTGACTCTTCCTGGCTGAGGATTTTGACAATTTACAGATGCTCTCTGAACCTCACTCTCCCTCTGCAACAAAATGACAATACTAAGGGATACTTCCTAAAATTGCTATGAGGATGAATTGAAGCAGGACCTGTGAAATATAAAAAATGATGACTGGCCTGTAATAGGTGCTCAGCAAATCATATCTGGTTTTGTTTTGTTCTTAATAATAATGTGATTTTCTTTTAAGCTGAAACTGATAGCATTCCACACAGAAAGGAGAACACATCTATACCATTTTCAGTGTCCGTGAGTCAAAAACACACCGAGTTGCTCTGAGATGCAGATTCTAGTTGGAAGTGTTGCGTTCTTCAAAGCAATGATAAAATTGGTCTCTCTGTCTTCCATTACATAGATTTTTCCACCTAGCCCCTGGTTCAACTTCTGTTTAATATGTGTGTTACGGAAACAGCCAAGAATCCTCCTGCCAGTCTCCAAAGCAGTGACATAAATCCCAGCCTGCAATTTCACACATGCCTCACCGTGTCTCCAGGAGTCTGTCTGCTGGAGGGAGCCTTGGCCAGATTTCTAAATGGTCATTTCAGCCTCCCTCCCTTCGGGGCCCAAGACATGATTAACCTGCAATAACTGTGACTCCCTCTTTAAAGGAACACTGTAGCAAGGGGAAAACCGTTGAGACCGATGGAGACGTTCCGTGCTGGCGTTTTTGTTGTTGATGTTGTTGCTGCTGCATGTCAGCTGGGTGGGTGCCTCTTGTTCCTCTGTCCTTCAGGTTAGTAAAATCAAGACCAGTCGCTGAAGCTCTGAGCTATCAATAAAAGTTAATGTACCACGAGAAATTGGATGGGAACAAAATCACTTAAGTGTTCAGGGCCACCAGGCTACCCCGGGCATCCCCTGTGAGCTGGTCGGCTCTGGCCAGTGTTTTTGTTGCCCTGTCTTGCAACTTAGCATTATTTTCTCAAGCAAATGGCAGAACATGCAGATCAAGGACACTGGCTGTGAACCAGGAATACTCTGTTCCCAGCCACAATCTATCCAGGGGGCTGGGGCTGGTCTGTAACATACCTCATGGTAGGACCACATCCAAGTCACTGATGCTTCAAGTATTTCTTCCAATACTATGGTCAGTAGGTGACCACATTCAGAGGCCAAATGTGCGCTGTCAGGGTTTGGGAGCAGAGTCTGTCTTTAAAGATTCAAGTCTGTACTCTGGATAGAGGTTGCATAAATGTTACAGCTAAAAGGTTTCAAAATTGTGTTTTCTTTCATAGAGGCTCTCCCTGCAGGCTGGATCTAGTCCTTCCCTCCTCCGAGCTCAGTGAGGAGTTAAGTGTTCACAGTTGAAAAAAGACTCATTGCATGACGTACTTGGCTCGGTGAGCGTGCCGTGAAGGAATGGGGCAGTGAGAAGAAAGACAGGTCGACACGAAGAAAAGGCCAAATAGTGTCCTTGTGTACTGCTCAGAAGGGATGAGGCCAGAATTTTAGGTGCCAAAGAAAACAGAGTGGTCATCTTTGCTGGGTTAAAACCAAAAATGAACATAATCCTCATGTGTTTTCAGAGTTGTTGGTCAGCTCTTTGTTCCGGGAAGGAACTGGAAGTTCAGTACAGGCCTTGACATATACTGTCTCACTCTGTGATGCTCCCTCATCTCTAGCTCTTAGAGCATCCGATTTACAGACAGGAAGCAGGCTTGAGGAAGTGAAGTGAGTTACTGATGTAAATCCCTAGAACCGGTAGAGTGAACTCTGGGTTGTAGAACCACATTTCTCTGATCACTCAGAGATAGCCACTGTAAATATTTGTGTTTATTTATGTAGTTTAGATGACATTAATTTCAACCACAATTATCTGTGCACTAGGATTGATAATGTAAATTGTATATACATTTCATTCAGCCATCAGCTATCTTATGAGGCCTCTCTGGATTCTAGACTGTGGGGTCCAAGCTTTTCTTGGTCTTGAGGTCTTGAACACAGAGCTCTGGGTAGCATCTGCTGGGACTGAGGAAACTCAAGTTCAGCAGAATCTGCAGGAAAGACCCGGGGTCAACTGTGACGACCTTCCATCACTCCCAGGGTGCCTGCTTGGGGGCGTCCCAGTTGTGACTTCTCCGTATTTCAGGTGTCTTTGTTTTACCTGCAGCTGCACCATAATCATCCACACAGGCTTATTCGCAAGAAGCATACACACCTTCCTCTCACCTCACCCAGAAGCAGTTTAGGTCAGGGGTGCAACGTGGATTCATTTCATGGGCCCATCGGCTTAGTTTAAATGTCCAGTTGACATGGTGTGTTGGAAAGGGTCTAAAGTAGAAGGTGAGCCCTTTGGGAGAGGACATCATGCTCAGTGACAGATTGTGCTGCATTTCTCAGACTCTGGGAGAGGGGAGCCTCCTTCTAATGTGTTCCCCACCCTGATTTAGGTGAACATGTGCTGCATATTTGTAGATCTCTGTTTTTCAAACAACAATAAGCGTATCCTCAGACAGCCTCTTAGCAGAGCCGAAAGCCAACAACAACGACAAAAAAGTCAACCATCTTGCTTCGGAATGAGTTTGCATGTGTAAGTTTATTTCCATCTTCTACGGTCTTTTTCTCCAGATAATCTCGGGACCACCACATTCAGAAAACACGGCAGTTGTCATTTACATCGCCGTCTCAGGAGTCTGTGTTTATGTGGCTCAAAGGTTTTAAAACCTGAGTGACACGGATCAAAGTCTCTGAGACCTAACCATCTTCCTTTCCTCCAGGGGACTTCTTACACCAACTACAAATCACTGATCAAAGTGTCCACCTGTCACCTGTCCATTTGTAAGTCCAGGTCTAAGTGCTTTCACAGGGCAGGACTTCAGCATCAAACAGGAAGGGGGAAATCCCTTTACTTCTCTAAGAGAGGCTTTCTGAAAGGCAGGTGACGCCTTCCTCAAGATTCTTTCTATATACATCCAGCACTCTGATTTCTGTTTTGTTTGATGACAGTGACCCCATTTCTCTAAATATGTAGACACATATCATGTTTGTCCACTCTTTGAATCATAAACATTTTTAATGAAATAAAATAATTTTTTAAATAATCTTAATTAAGATAACATTTAAAAGAGCAACATTAACTTTGACATTTAATATCTGTGGTTCTAATACATTTCACTAATTTGAAAATACATATAATTTTCTCAGCAATCAGAGATCTGCATCTCATACAAAGCGCATACTCTACATGTATACAGAATAATTGTGCTCGTCAAAGTGTTTTTGGATTAAAACTATAAATACTAATACATATGAAAACATATAGCTTCACATATTAAGCTGTACATAAATTCAGAATTGTAAGTCGTTCAAATGTTAGATTCATAGTGAAAGTCTCTTGGTCATGTCTGACTCTTTGCGACCCCATGGACTATACAGTCCATGGAATTCTCCAGGCCAGAATACTGGAGGGAGTAGCCTTTCCCTTCTTCAGGGGATCTTCGCAGCCCAGTGATCGAACTCATGTCTCCCACATTTCAGGCAGATTCTTTCCCAGCTGAGCCACAAGGGGAGCCCAAGAATACTGGAGTGGGTAGCCTACCCCTTCTCCAGCGGTTCTTCCTGGCCCAGGAATTGAACCAGGGTCTCCAGCATTGCAGGCGGATTCTTTACTAACTGAGCTATCAGGGAAGCCCTTTAGATTTGTAGGAGTCCATTAAAAAACATTCCTTCTGGTCTTCTCATTTTACAGATGAGTAACCTGAGGCCCTGGCTTGAAGGTCTGGTGATGGCCAGGAACAGATACAGTGTCTCCTGATTCAGTGTTCATTTTTCTGTCAGGCTGTCTCTGTAACTTTCAAAGAAATATTTATATATTTATTCATTTAGCTGTTCTGGGTCTTAGTTGCAGCATGCAAACTCTTAGTTGTAGCAGGCAGGATATAGTTCCCTGACAGG